TTCTGGCAAGCCAAAACACTTGCCCTAACAGAAGAATATCTGAAGGAACGTCTCCACCCCGATCGTTCTACCCAGACACTGTGGTACAGCACCAAGGGCTTTCTAGCGGTTCCCTCACTGCAAGAAGCCAAGTTTCAGGGAACCAGGCAGAGGGCCTTCTCGGTGGTGGCACCCACCCTGTGAAATGCCCTCCCACCAGATGTCAAAGAGAACAACTACCAGACTTTTAGAAGACATCTGAAGGCAGCCCTGTTTAGGGAAGCTTTTCATGTTTGATGCATTACTGTATTTTAATATTTTGTTGGAAGCTGCCCAGAGTGGCTGGGCGGGGGTATAAATAATAAATTATCATTATCATTATTATTACCTTAGTAGTGTGACATTGAACACTCCCCAGTGTGTCCCTTGAGCTGAAAAAGGTTCCCCATCCCAGATCTATAAGTAACTCTCTGTCTCATATATGTTGATATGAAATGAATTGTTGTGCTTTATCAGGCTAAAGGCTAATCTAGCCCAGTATTCTCTTTTCGAGAAGGTACAACAACTACATGCCTCTGGTTTCTCACCAGTGTGCTTTCTAATGGGCAGCTGCTAGGACAAATATATAACGCTCAAAATGAAATTTTAAAATGTGAATATTTGCACAGTCCAACTATTGGTTTTTTTTGTGGGGAAGGGGGCATATTTCCATCCCATTGAAACACATAGTTGACACAGAATCAAAAGTGGAGTATTCAGTGGTAAAAGCAGCAAATTGTCCTAGTAGGATTTCATATAGAATCTAGCATGTACTGTGGAACGGCCTACCTATGTCTTCCATCCCACTAATTTCACTTCCTTCCTTGAGGGAAACAAAAACTTTGAAGACTGCAGCATTTTACTAACTCATCTGTCCGCCTGTGAAGCCAGTGGTGGATTCAGAATTCCTTCTTTGCCACTTAAGGGGAAATTAGAAGGAAGAAAATGTTCAGTCAAGAGATCGTTCTTCAGACTAGAGTGCTGTGCCATTTCTTTTTATAATGGCCTACCGAGAATTGGATTGTTTCTTTTTCTTCTTTCCAGCCCCCCTCCTGCATGCATGAGCCCTGTATTCGATGAAATTCACTTTTCTAATTATCCCTGCTAAAGAAAAGCAGGAGGAAAGTGACAAGAAAGGGTTTCTTTTTATCTCTTTCTATTTTGTCCCATTACTTCCCTTGCTCACAAGAGCCACTGTGGCTTTGAAAACACTCTTATTGAACTGAGAAGGAGCTCTCTGGGTAGATGTTGCCAGCCATTATTGTACCATAAAGGTGTTGAAGGAGACTCACAACAGAAATCACAGGAACATGAGGTCTTTAATTAGATTCCCTCCGCAGATGTTCTATTAATTCCATTTAACCTTCACAATGGTTCTGCATCACACACTTGTGCACATCATAGCACTCCTAGTTGTGTTCACTTGAAAGTAAGTTCTACTGAGTTCAGCGTAGCTTACTCTCAAGTAGACAAACCCTGAGTTCGGTGAAAACTCGCCTCTTTACCCTGATTAATATATATTAGGCTCCTACCCTACTCTCCTGACTGTGTCCCAGGGTTGCACAATGAGCATGCTGATTTATTGAAATGAGTCGTGGGCAACATACAACTGCCAAAAGCAATGCAACTTCCAAATGTGCTTTGTCAGGAAGATTTTGGGCATCACATGGCAGGACAGTGTTAAGATTCTTCAAACAGTGTTGATTCTTCAAACAGCTCTTGTTTATTCACAGGCCAGAACAGAACTGAACTGGAGGGTTCAGCCAGCCTGCTTATATAGAGCTCCAGTACAACGTTACTGTAGCAACTTTCTAAAACTATGCAATCACTGAACGTCACTTTCGATCCTTCATTTGCATAACTATCTGCAGTATCCCCCTGCTGGCCCAGGGTGAGAACTTCAGTACATAACAGACAGTCTCAAACAAAGATGTGTTCTCTTAAGTAACAGTGTCTGCATTCTGTGGCCATTCAGCATGCTCAGGCTTCATTTGGCTGTCAGCACCCGGGGCAAGGCAAGTAATTTGCGCCCCCTAACCCGTGGATTTTAGTAGGGGCAGAGAGCTGCGAGTGCGAGCGCGCCCCCCCAGATGTTGCGCCCGGTGTGGCCAGCCCCCCCTGCACCCCCCACGCTACGCCACTGGACCAGACAAGTAGATAAGTTTATGCAACAGGTTTAAAATGAATGAAACATGGAAAGGATGGGAGGTCAGACGCTTTGGAAGAAAATTTATTGTTAAAGTGTTTGTACTTTATGTGATTTTCGACGATTCAGTTTATTGACAACAATGAATTTAAGTTTATGTTGTACAGATGTAAGTATGATAAAGGGTAATTTAAAAGAAAGAAAGAAAGAAAGAAAGAAAGAAAGAAAGAAAGAAAGAAAGAAAGAGTATATATGAAGGATCGTCTCCACCCCCATCATCCAGCCCGGACACTGAGGTCCAGCGCCGAGAGCCTTCTGGCGGTTCCCTCACTGTGAGAAGCCAAGTTACAGGGAACCAGGCAGAGGGCCTTCTCGGTGGTGGCGCCCTCCCTGTGGAACGCCCTCCAACCAGATGTCAAAGAGAACAACAACTACCAGACTTTTAGAAGACATCTGAAGGCAGCCCTGTTTAGGGAAGCTTTTAATGTTTGATGCATAACTGTATTTTAATATTTTGTTGGAAGCTGTCCAGAGTGGTTGGGGAAGCCCAGCCAGATGGGTGGGGTATTAATAATAATAATAATAAGAAGAAGAAGAAGAAGAAGAAGAAGAAGAAGAAAAGAAACTGCCTCCAGGAGGCCATGCCTGTTGCAGCAAGAAGCGGCAGAGGAAGTGGCATCAGGCAAAGGTGTCGGGGGCAGGAAGCGAGAAAGTGGAGATGCTACTGTCACATACAGTGGTACCTCGGGTTAAGTACTTAATTTGTTCCAGAGGTCCATACTTAACCTAAAACTGTTCTTAACCTGAAGCACCACTTTAGCTAATGGGGCCTCCTGCTGCTGCCACGCCGCCGGAGTACGATATCTGTTCTTATCCTGAAGCAAAGTTCTTAACCTGAAGCACTATTTCTGGGTTAGCGGAGTGTGTAACCTGAAGCGTATGTAACCCGAGGTATGACTGTAAAGCACTGCTGAAGAGCACAATAGACATGCCCAAAGAGAGAACACCAGAGCATTTTGTTCCATTGTTAAATGTGTTCACATTTTTTGAGTGCAATATACACGCAGCTCCTAATTAAATTCAGCGGAGGAAGAGCAACACAAGAAACCTGCCATGCTTCTGTCAACTGGGAACAGTTTATGGCTCAATTAGATCTTTGGCATGACAGAGTTTCTACGAAGAGAAAGATAATAGGTGCAACCAGATTGCTGTGTAAGGCAGAAAAGTGGAAATCTATAATGGCTGGAGGAAAATGATGCAAGTGGTGTTGCAGAACTGGGTTTGGGGAGTAGACATAGACTTCAAAACCAGCTAGATTCCACTACTGCTGACCAGAAAATATTTCAGGCTGATAAAAATCCACTGGGGAAAAAAAGACTTGTGCTTTGGTGATGTTGAAATTGGAGTTACGAGGCAGAAAGTGGAATTTCTTGAATGGCACACAAATTGGAAGGACAGGTCAGGCAACAGCAAAAATGACCAAGATAAAGACCACCAGAAATGGAGGCAGGAAGTAACAGTAGGCTCCTCCAGGTGACCTGTTTGTTGAGCATTCACCCTGATGTGCTTGCAGAGAAGTTACAGGACAATGAACATTCATCCTGAATTCATCCTGATTTGCCCGTGTGGTGTTTGAACATCTTTTCATTAATCTTTATTTCTTCTTCACCCTACACTTTTCAGTACATTTCCCACCCATTGTGCTGGTCCCGGAGGGGGGGGGTTACCGTGCGGCGTGGTCTGTGTCCAGTCCGAGGCTGAAGCGGGGTCCAAGGCAGGGAGTCGGGCGTCGTCAGGAACAGGGTGCCACCAGGAACAGGTAACCAACGATGTTGCTTCGCAACCTGGGACTGGGCGGGCTGGCCTTTATCTCCTCTGAGGCATAGGGTGGCCCTGATCCACAGGTGACTCGCCTCTCCTGGCCTGGAGGCAAGCACTCCTCCTGTGGGAACTTAGTTCCCTCCGCCTCTCTGCTCTGAGCCTCTGCAGCTCAGGAGAGGCTGGAGGGTTACTGGACCCAGAGGCAACCTCACCTTCCCCTGACAGGGCTGGGAGAGGAGCACCTGCAGGCAATGGGTCCTCGATCACCTCCGGAGCCAGAGCGGATTCAGCTGGTGTCTGCTCCTGAGGATCTGGCACAGGTGAGGGCCCTTCAGGTTCAAGCCCCTGCCCTGGCTCAGCCGGCCCTGGAGGCGGGGACTCCTGTGCGGGCTGGGATTCCTCAGGTTCAGCCTCTGAATCAGATTCCCAGGCCATCACACCCATTTTTCTAACCGTGCTTTCTTTTCTTTAAATGGATTTGTTGTGCAGGAAGAGCACTTGGATTGCACAAACCTAAATTTCCCAGTATGTGTGCGTGAATCCCTCCCATAAAGTGCTGCAAGCCTGGAGGCATGCTGTGTTGGTTAAAGAGGCTAGGCGAGGGGGATACAGCCAGTGATTTGATAGTGGTGGAATAATATTGATTACCTGGCACATGAAAATACAGGCACCCAACGTATATGATGTTAGGTGATTGGCAGGGGAGTGTGGCTTGGTCCAAATGGGGAGGTCTGGCAGGCTGTGTGGGAATGTTCAGGGTGGCAGGAGAGGATATATTGTTTATTAATATCCTTCCTAACTTGCGTTAGCAAGTTTCTTTACTTAGCAGAGTTTACATTCCCCTTTTGCATGCACAGCAGATAGCTGGTTGCAAGTTCGTGTGAGTGTCTCACTATTATACAATTCAGTCTGTCTCAGATTGAATTGTGTGTTCCTGGTAAGTTCCCTTGAATCCCTCTTAAAAGAATAAAGGCGCCACAATCTTATTCAAAGTCAATAAAAGAAGTTTACTTACATCAGTTCACAGTTGGATCCCTGAAGGCAGACTTAGTTCCAAATATGTACGTGTGGATCTACCCCATATGGGGGAATAATTCCACTGCCTCTGAGCAGTCCTAGCTAAAAGCTGGTCAAACGAAGGAGGTCAAAAAGAGAGAGAGAGAGAGTGGCAGCATGCCTTGTCCTTCTACCAGGTCTGGAAAGGTCATGCCCACCCACTAGTCACATGCAAGGAAGGATGCTTCAGCCAGGTGTAACAGGAAGTTTCGACTGGCTGGACCAAACATTCCCTTGCATGTCCACTCTAGGAAAACAAGGAATGTTGTCCTTGACTGCTCTCAGTGGATTACATCACACAGGCTGTGGGCTCAAGGTTCTCACCTTATCCTATAGGCTTCACATGGTTCTCTCTCTGTATGGAATCTTGGGAACTGTGGTTCTGATGTGTGTGTGACCTAATGGTCTTAACAGATAAGTCTTCACCAGTGCTTTTTCCCTAGAAAAATAGTTGCAGGAACTTTCACCTTTTTGGGATGGACAACCCTAGGAGTGCCAAAGTTGTTGAACTTTTTGTAGCACAGCTACAAGCACCGTTCCTATAGCAACGCTTAAGAGGAGCCAGAACTCAGTTCCAGTGAGTTCCAGCTGGAAAAAAAGCCCTAGTCTTCACCACCCTCACAAAATTACATTTCCCAAGACTGAACTAGTATAGAAAGGTTGTAAGAGATGCCAGCCAGCTCCATCTGTCAAAGGGGATGACAGCTGGCCTCCCACTAATCCCATTTGTGGGTGATTGTGATGTAACTTCTACTATGATGCACTCATTGTTCTCTTGGTGATGGGTCAAGCTCAGTGGGCAGTTTCAGTGACGTAGCGGATGAGGAAGGATCTCATGGGAGCAGATGGATGCTGCTCCAATGGAGGGAAAGTTTGGGGAAACCAAATGGGAGGAAACAATTTCCGCTCACCCCCTCCCTTGCGACACTGTGCGGGCTCCTGCGACAGGTGAGCCCCCCACCTTTGTTCCAGGGAGGCCATCGCCCTGCCCCCATCTCAGCAGGCCTATGGGCAGCCGGCTGGGGGTGGGGCGAGGGTCAGCATAAGAAGCCGATGTGACTCAGCCCAGGCTCACTTGGGGTGGCGAGGATGCGGTGGCCTTTTTCTTCTGCCCCCCCCCGGCTTCAGGCCTTCTTAGGCCTCCTGCACCTGCAGCCACCCCCCCCAGCATCAGGTGGGAATCGGGGCCCTACAGCCTACTTCTGGGCCTACTCAGGCCTTCCTCGACTGGCGCTGCTTGTGGGACTGGTTTTCTGGGATCTGGAGGGTCTGCTGGGGTCTCCTCCCAGCACCAGTACCCTCCCGCTCTTGGCCTATGGTTTCTACTGTTGCCATTTGGCCTTGAGGGTGCATTCTTGCTGCTGATTTTGCACGCACTTAGCAGGTCACTGGTTGCTGTCTCTTAATTATTAGGATATATTAATTTTTTTTAAAAAAATGTCCATTAGCACCTTAGAGACCAACTAAGTTTGTTTGGGTATAAGCTTTCATGTGCATGCACACTTCTTCAGATACACTGAAACAGAAGTCACCAGACCCTTATATATAGTGGGAGGGTGGGGTGGGGTTTTTCTCAGGAGGGTAGTAGGAGATGGGTGATTGACTCAATGGGTATGGTAAACCTGTTGACGACTGTTAATGACTGTAATTAGTCCTACAGGAAAAAGCAAGGGATAGTATGCAGATGATTAGCATATGTAATGAGACAGGAATCCAATATCTCTATTAAGACCAGGTCTCTCCATAGTTTTCAGTTTAGTGATAAGTTGTAATTCAGCAACTTCTCTTTCAAGTCTGTTTCTGAATTTTTTTTGTAATAAGACAGCTGCTTTGAGATCCTGTATTGAACGTCCTGGGAGACTGAAGTGTTCTCCTACTGGTTCCTCTGTCTTATGATTCCTGATGTCAAATTTATGTCCATTTATCCTTTGGCATAGGGACACGGGTGGCACTGTGGGTTAAACCACAGAGCCTAAGACTTGCCAATCAGAAGGTCGGCGGTGCGAATCCCCGCGACAGGGTGAGCTCCCATTGCTCGGTCCCTGCTCCTGCCAACCTAGCAGTTCGAAAGCACGTCCAAGTGCAAGTAGATAAATAGGTACCACTCCGGCAGGAAGGTAAACGGCATTTCCGTGCATTGCTCTGGTTAGCCAGAAGCAGCTTAGTCATGCTGGCCACATGACCCGGAAGCTGTACGCTGGCTCCCTCAGCCAATAAAGCGAGATGAGCGCCGCAACCCCAGAGTTGGTCATGACTGGACCTAATGGTTAGGGGTCCCTTTACCTTTTATCCTTTGGCATAGGGTTGGCCTGTTTTCCCAATATAGAGAGCTGAAGGGCACTGCTGGCATTTGATGGCATACACAATGTTAGAAGATGAGCAATTAAATAGGCCTGAGATGGTATGTTTGACGTTGTTGGGTCCAGTGATGGTGTTGTCTGGGTGTATGTGGCAGCAGAGTTGGCATCTGGGTTTATTGCAGGCTCTGGTACTAGTGTCCATGTTAAGTCTGCTTGCTGTTATTAGGATATATTAACCACTCCTTTCATTTTTGACCAATTGCATTGCATGGGCTGCTTCTTGGTGGCCTACACTTCTGGTCACCAGCCCACGGCTTGGGTGGCGCAGTTTTGGCTTCAAGCGTCAAGTTTGCGGGAATCTAACATTATTTTGCTTGCTTTTCTTTTCTTTCTTTTTTTTTGCAGTGCGTACTTTTATTTTATTTTATTTTATTTGAAAAGTTATTATTATTAAAATAATTCGGCATCAATACACACATATTACGAATATACAAGCATACAAACATACATTTCATACAATCCTTAAAAATGTTCAAACATACCTACACTCAATCCCACAGATATTTTCTTTTCCCATCTCCATCCCTCACCCTTCACCCCACCTTTGGGTTAGACTTCCAATCTACTCAATTGCAATTTTTTTCCACTTCTATTACTTTCTTTCACACACTTTAAACCCAGTTTTCTGCTTCTTTTTCTATTGCACATTGTTATCCATCTTATTTAGTATTTCAGTATTTAAAATGGAACTTGTTTATTCTAATAGTTCTGATTTTTCAATATGGTTTTGCAAGTATCCTTTAAACACCTTCCAGTTCCTGTCTATCTTCTCTTTTGAGATCCTTCCAATTTTCGCAATCAATAGCCTTGCAGCTACTGTTGCGTATAAATATAATTTTGCTTGCTTTTCAGTATCTCCTTTAGCAGCGCATGCGCAGTAGGTTGCTGGTTTTGTCTGTTAGACTTTACTGTAGTTACCCAACTTTAGAATTCAGCTTGCTGCCACAGTGTTACATTGTCGAGTAGCTGGTAATTGCTTGTCCTCATGCTGCTTATGCCATCAGGTCTCCTGCTAAGGCAACTGAGCATGGTGATACCTCCCCTCCCCACAAACGTAGGTGTATAGTGTGGGGCACCCCTAGCAGTGCTGTGCAGGCAGCAAATAAGATCAAGGAAAGGGTCCCGTCTACTGGCAGGAAGGCCCCCCTCCATCCCGCGTGCCACGGCCAAGGGTTTACAAAGGGAAAAATAATACTTAAAAATAAATAAATCCTAGTCGGTATCTGTGTTGGATTTGAAATTGTTTTTCTATATACAATTGTTTTAACTGTTTTTCTATATGTTTTTGTTATGCTGTGAAATTGCTTTGAGAACTTTCATTGGAATTGATTCAGAGATGATGATGTTGATAATTCCCCAGGGAAGATAATACCATGGCCTACAAACATATACATAAAGTGTAGAAAACTACAAGAAAACTGGCAGCAATACAGACCTTTGAGGATTTGGTAATTTGTATGCAGATTTCAAAAGGAACTGTAATTTATCCTTGAACGAGCGTTGGAAAGCAACAAGTCATCCTTAAAAAAAACAACCACAGGAAAGAAACTATGTTTAAATAATCTGATGTGATGTAAGAAACTGAACGTGTTGCTCTGTCTTGAGAAGCATAAAAGTTCTCAGGTAAGTGTTACCACCATGCAGGTAAGTCCAAAGGAGCTATTGCAAATACGTATCCTTTTATTTGCTGGCTGACCTGTTCAATCACCGGAGAAACTGACAATGTGAAAATGTTTGTTTGATCACCCAGTGGCTTTTTTGCAGATTGGAAATGGACCTTCCAATTGAAAAAGATCTATAATCCGTCTATTCTTGAAAAAAGAGGTGAAAAGCTTAAGGAAAAGCCTTGTTTTCAGTAGGATCAAGGAAGAAAGAAATTAATAAGAACTAATATGTGACAGAAGAAATGAAAGGTGCTGCACTGCTTTAAGAAGAGAAGCAGAAAACATCACAGATGGGCATTGCCAATGAATGGGTGGAGGTTAAATGATTTCAGTAATATATGGGATAATAAATTAAGGTGGGCTTCTTTTCAAATTCAAGAACAACAAGAGCAGGACTTCCATCCAAGAGGTAAGAAACATCTTTCAGTTCTAGCACAAGAAATGGCATATTCTGAAGGGACTGAGATGAAGCACTCCAGAGTTCAAGGTGAGCAAGTGAGTCTCTGCACGCCACACGGTATCAGTTCATTTATTTGCTTGGCTTCCTAAATATTACTTTGTCAAGGCTTGCTTACAAAGGGGGAAGTAATACTTAAAAATAAATAAATCCTAGTCGGTATCTGTAATGATTTGAAATTGTTTTTATATACAATTGTTTTAACTATTTTTCTCTATGCTTTTCTTATGCTGTGAAATTGCTTTGAGAACCTTCATAGGAATTGATTCAGAGATGCTGATGCTGATAATTCACCAGGGAAGATAATACCATGGCCTACAAACGTATACGTATACATATAAGGTAGAAAACTACAGCAAAACTGGCAGCAATCAAGACCTTTGAGGATTTGTCTTGGAAAGCTATGGAATCTAGTTTATGGCAAGCTTAAGAAAGCAACAGATCCATAAGCAATGAACAAAATTATATGATATGAGGTAAGGAATATAATAACATGCATCAAGAACAGAGAAGTGAACATCATTGGCATGGTAAGTCTTTAAGGGGTACATCCTAAATGGAAAAGAAAGCAACTTCTTGGCTGATTTTTCTTTCTCTGTTTATACAACCTAATCACTGGAGACAGCTACAAACCGATGAACATTTATTTGATCATTTGGTAATTTCTATGCCGATTTGAAAGGGATCTTCCCAAACAAAAGGAACTGTAATCTATCCTTGAAAGAGCGTTGGAAAGCAAAAAGTCATCCTTAAAAAAAAAAAAACCACAGGAAAGAAACTGCGTTTAAATAATCTGATGTGATGTAAGAAACTGAATGTGTTACCCTGTCTTGAGAAGCATAAAACTTCTCAGATAAGTGTTACCGCCACACAGGTAAGTCCAAAGGAGCTATTGCAAATACGTATCCTTTTATTTGCTGGCTGACCTGTTCAATCACCGGAGAAACTGACAATGTGAAAATGTTTATTGGATCATCCCGTGGCTTTTTTGCAGATTGGAAATGGACCTTCCAATTGAAAAAGATCTATAATCCGTCTATTCTCAAAAAAAGAGTTGAAAAGCTTAAGGAAAAGCATAGTTTTCAGTAGGATCATGGAAGAAAGAAACTAATAAGAACTAATATGTGACAGAAGAAATGAAAGGTGCTGCACTGCTTTAAGAAGAGAAGCAGAAACATTACAGATAGGCGTTGCCAGCATGCAGGTAGGTCTAAAGGAGGTAACTTGTATTGGTCATTTTTCCTCACTGGCTGACCAATCACTGGAGAAATCTATGACATGTACATACTTATGTGACCATTTAGTAAATTCTCTGCAGATTGGAAAGGGGATTTTCTGCAGTAAACAGAACTGTAATCTGCCCATTCTTCAAAGACACCACCACAAAGATATCTGGAGGATCAAGAAACAATTTTGTAACCAGAGGTGTGGAATAATGTAAGACATGTAAGTTCAATGGAGGGAAAATTTGGAGAAAGAAAGTGGAAGAAAACAAAAGAAAATTATCCCAGGGAGCAAAAATCTGTAAAATACAACAGCTTAAAACTGCAGCTCGCCTGCTTAAGACTACCAATTTTTTGTTTATTTGTCTGATATTAGGGACACTCAGAGAGAATCCTGGCCAAGCTATGAACATCGCTACTGCTCATATGCCCCACCAATGAATGGGTGGAGGTGTAATGATTTCAATAATATATGGGATAATAAATTAAATTGTGCTTCTTTTTAAATTCAAGAACAACAAGAGCAGGACTTCCATCGGAGAGGTAAGAAACATCTTTCAGTTCTAGCGCAAGAAATGGCATATTCAGAAAGGGACTGAGATGAAGCACTCCAGAGTTCGAGGTGAGCAATTGAGTCTCCAAACGCCACACCGTATCAGTTCATTTATTTGCTTGGCTTCCTAAATATTACTTTGTCAAGGCTTGCTTACAAAGGGGGAAATAATACTTAAAAATAAATAAATCCTAGTCGGTATCTGTATTGGACTTGAGATTGTTTTAACTATTTTTCTCTGCGTTTTTATTATGCTGTGAAAGTGCTTTGAGAACTTTCATAGGAATTGTTAATTTCTATGCTGATTTGAAAGGGATCTTCCAATTGAAAAAGATCTATAATTTGTCTATTCTCAAAAAACGAGTTGAAAAGCTTAAGGAAAAGCCTTGTTTTCAGTAGGATCAAGGAAGAAAGAAACTAATAATATATGACAGAAGAAATGAAAGGTGCCGCCCTGATTTAAGAAGAGAAGCAGAAAACATCACAGATGGGCATTGCCAGCATGCAGGTAGGTCTAAGAGAGGTAACTTGTACTGGTCGTTTTTCCTTACTGGCTTACTGGTGAAATCTTTGACATGTACATACTTGTTTGACCATTTAGTAACCTCTCTGCAGATTGGAAAGGGGATTTTCTGCATTAAACAGAACTGTAATCTTCCCATTCTTCAAAAAGAGAACTCAAACAACTACAAAGATATCTGTAGCATCAAGAAACAATTTTGTAACCAGAGGTTTAGCATAATGTAAGAAATATAAGTTGCACTCTTGCAGGAAGAGTGATGTATGAAGCATCAAAGAAGAGCATCTCTGGTAGGTCTTGAAGATGTCTCCCTGCCCCCCAAAACACAGGTACTTTGTTTCCTTTTCTTTGTATCTATAGTTTTCTTCTGAAACCAATAACTGAAAATATCAGTGTTTAAAGTTACCTGTTCATTACGATGTCTTCTTGCAGGTTGAAAAGGAATTTCCCAATTTTAAAGGAGCTGTAATATGCCCATTCTTTAAAGATACAGTCTCATCCAGTGGCTACTATTCATCTTATCAGGGGAGCCTGGTGGGGATGCCGAGGGATGAAACAGACCACCCAGCAAGCCAATCTCTCATAACAGCCCAATCTCTACCATGGCATCAGCCATGCTAAAATCATCTCTCTCTCTGTTCTTCTGGTGTATGTTCTAGACAGCTGAGACCCATCATCAGCCTTCTCTTAGCCCCCAGTATTTGTCCTCTATCTGAACCTTGTTTTCTTTTCTCCATTAACCACACTAATCATCCCCCAGCTTTGCTCTCTTTCTACAGAGCTTATCCATACTTCCTCTTGCCCCACTGTTTCCCCCCTTTGTGACACTTCTGGTTCCTCCATTGTCCAGGTCCCACCTGCCTTCAACTAACTGATCTCTGCACTGTCCTCCTCCCTCCAGCTCCAGTCAACACCAGCTGCCACTGCATCTAATGAATACTTGAGAGGGAAAGATTATATTTTAAAATATTGAAGACAATCCATGAAATCAATTCAACTGTCTTATGAAGCCAAGAGGTAGATTTGTCTACAGGAATTTTAACAGCCCAAGTGTTTTCATCTAGATTGTAAGTAATCAAGAACAGCCGAGAGGTAAGAAATTAATACTCCAATGAATCAAATCAGTCCTTGCTGCAGTCACTAAATTTTGCTTTCTAATAATTACAGCACAGAATGCATGTGAAAATGAAGAAAGCAATAATTCTACTGGAAATGTCCTGGATCCAAAGCATAAAATATATACCGTACTTTTCCGTGTGTAAGATGAGGTTTTTATGTTCAAAAATGTGCCTCATCTTATACATGGATAGTGAGTGGGATGGACGGGTGTTTGGCAAGAGCATGTCATCAACGATTGTTGGCTGCTAGAAGGGCTGCTTTGGATTGGCTGCTGCTTCTCTAATTGGGTTGGTGATTGGTTGCTCCGGATTGGCTGTCACTGCCATGACTGGTGGCTGCTGTTCTGGGATGTGTGCGATTGCCAGCAGACAGCTTTTCTCAGTTGCGTAAGAGATTTTTTTGCTTGGGAAGGGACTGCTTGCGATTTGCTATTGCTGTGGCAAGTGGGCAATTTTTGGCAATTTGCCCCCCAAAAGCTGTAAAACTCTGGTCAATCCCCCTCAAAAAAGCTCAGCAACTCTGAGGCATCTCCACCCCCCCATTTTCTTAAATTTGAGTCCCCCAAAATAGAGGGCATCTTATACAAGGGGGCATCTTATAGACGGAAAAGTATGGTACCTTCTGTCAGAAGAATTTTAGAACAATTTTTTTTTAGAAGAATCATAAGGAAAGCCTTAGCCATCTGATATATATGTAAATGTCAATACTAGTAATTGCATTTAGGTCTGTGGCTATTCTGTCTTATGTTACAATGGTACACTCCTCTTTAATTCGCGGTCTTTTGTTCTTCTTTTCTGACACAGTGCATATGGAAGGCATTGAGATGTTGCGTCTGGTGGATGTAAGGAAGACTTTGCAGGACAGAGTCTCAAACAAAGATGTGCTCTCCCAAGTCCACATTCCCAGCATGTCCACACTCCTGTCTCAGTGATGTCTACTCTGGCTTGATCATGTACACAGAATAGAAGATGGCAGAACCCCTAAGGACGTGCTCCACGGGGAGTTGTATTCAGGCACCAGGCCTGTTGGCAGACCAACTATGCGTCATAAAGATGTCTGCAAATGTGACATGAAGACTGGCAACATTAACCCTGCCACGTTGGAATCCTTTGTAGGCAGCCACAGTGCCTGGAGACAGACAGACAGGTCATGAGTAGGTATGCTAACTGGGAAGAGCGCAGGGAGAATAAATGCTAAGGTGGACCTGAAGACACTTTCATCTGCCCCAACTGAAATAAAACATACCTCAACAGGTACTGTAGCTCTCCAATGGTTTGGCTAGCAGGACCTGTGGTCATGGATGATGGGGCTTGTAGTCCCAAAAACAGCTGCAGACCCAAGTTTGGGAAACCCCATTTTAGATGTTTAAGGCTGCAATCTGGAAAAAAACATTGTAAAACCCTTTGTAGAGCATAAATCAGTGGCTCCCCTTTCTTTTCCTCAGTATCAGACAGAATAACATCATGACTGCACACAATTCTTTCATTTTGCAGGGGAGGTCAAGGGGGAAAAAAAAGACCATTTGGAAATCACGAAATAGCAAACATTACCTTGACTCCCCCTTCTGTTCCGGCTGCTGCAAGGATTTTCCATACCCTCCCCTTTTGACCGAGGTTGAATGGACGCAATTCAAATCATATTTGGACTGGGCCAGGAGTGGAGGAGAGAGGAATTTGGCATGGTGAAGGACTGCTAATTACATCTGGCAGGAGTTTATATATGTGACTTTGTTTTTTATCTGCGGGCTGAGGAAAATAACCCCCAGAATTTTAATGGCGGAGATAAATGGCGGAGCAGGCATCTTGTTGGGGAGTTATTTATAGCCCAGCAAGTCCTTGAACAATGGAAGTAATGTTTTCAAAGGAGTGGAATGTGAATGGACAAAGGACGGTGGCAATAAATTATCTCTACACTCCAGGTCTGGGAACAGAGTGCTGGAAGGACTACATGCATGAAATGGATATTTATATATTTGTGAAACAACAAAGGTGCTGATTGCAAAGGAACAAGAAAGATCAGCTTTGCAGATGGATTAAAATTAATAGAAGGATGAGAAGGTGATTAAAGAAGAAGAACGAAGTGGCATCATCAGGAAGCAACGGACATATGTTTGTAACAGGAGTGGGAAACCTAATGATTATTTCTTAAATTGTATTAAATCTTAATAATTAGGACCGATTTGTTATAATTTGGAAAACTAATATATATTATATGGCTGCAATATGAAGCATGCTTGCTGGAAGTAAATTCTACTGAATCCTTTTGGAAGAAAACAGGACTGACTTTGGAGTAAGCACTGGGCCGCATGGCTGCAATGATATTCACACTGAGATTATATCTCATAGGGCTTCCGGTTTCGGTTGCCTTAATGGCGCAGCTCCCAAGACAACGGGAGATCGTTGGTGAAGGAACAAACAAAGATGATTGAGGGTCGGGGGGGGGGGGAGAGCTTCACTCACAGATCATCTCAGTACCTGGCTTTTGCTCTGACATGAAATAGGCACTGAGTGCAAAAGCACTTTGCCCGTCAGTAACCCTCCTATGCTGCCATTAAGAAGCAGCTGTTCTTCTGTTCATTAAGAGTTTAATTAGGATTAATATACAGACGCATGCTGGTAATTATGGGACAAGATCAAAAACTGCCAAATTGAAACAGCTACAAAGGTGTAAAGATTTGAACTGGAAAGAAGACTTCCTTTGATGCAAAAGATGGTACGTGGGGCGGGGGGAGACTCCAGCTTCCTTTTTATATATATCTTGTTTGTTACATAAATGACTCGACAACCCCCCCCCCCCGAATGCTAAAAAGTTTTAATAAAGAGAAAATAAAAGAGAACGGGGATATAGTTATGAATTGCAATGCAGAATAGAATTGTGTGTGAAAATTGAAATGGATTTTAAACAATTGGACAGAGTTAATTTTCACTGTATCGCTGCTTTAGCGAAGAAGACTTTGAAGATGTGCCAAGGCTTTGGTGGGATGCCAGATCATTATTTTGAGAGTTGGAGAAGCTGGAGACTCTCCAAGGCTTTGGCAGGGTGCCAGATTACCCATTTCCTAGACTTGAAAAAGCGTGGAACAATGACTCAGTTGTAATTAGAGCCTCACTCTCCAGAAACAGAGATAGTGGAAACAGCGATGTTGCGCAGGGCATGATGGAAACCAGGAAGAATGAAGACACAATGTTTTATAAGGACAAAAAGAAACAATATGGGCAAAATAAATAAACACAAATATAAAATATCACACACAGGAACAATAAAGGACATAGAACTCCACTTGCAGGAATACAAATTATTAAATGTGTTAATACGAATGAAAGTTAAAAACACTGTAGCTGTTGTATAAGGGATTATGATAGAGATTGAAATGTAATTGGATTAAATAAGACTCTGGAAGCAGAATTAAATGAAATTATCTTACCTTGAAATCTAGCACACAGGGGGCCATCTAAAATGTGTAATTGGCTTTTTAATTGATTGATACTGGAATTGGAATGGTAATTTGGTATTGATACAATAGGTGGGCTGTTGTTCCATATCCATTTGCACAGTGAATTATGAAGCCTTTCATTTATCTTTTTATCCAAAATCTAAACTACTTTTTATGGTTTTGGAACTTTATCTCATAGGGCTTCCAATTTATTATTATTAGGTGAGTTATGGAATCCCAGGTGATGAGTGGATCTTACTCAAGGAGAACATACAAAGGCTGGCCTACCCTCAGCGCCCTCATAATTGCTTGAGCCTGACTTTGGAATCGGCTACATCAGAAAAAAAGGGTTTTAAATGTGTTATAACACTGTGACACCAGATGGCGCTGTAGAGTTCCATCTTTTGGCACAAGATTTTCCATTATGAGGTTTAGAACACGTTTTCCTGAAATGTTTTTTTGATGTGTTTAGATCTAGCCACTGTTGTTCTGGATGTTTACTGATGACAGGAGGCAAACAGGCAGTCTCTTGGGATGGGAAGATATACTGCAACAATTGTGTTGCAGATCACATTGGTGTTATCAGAATGCAAACTTTACAAATGAAGAACAATCAGTAACATAAATTATAATAAACCATATCATATTGGAACATAATCACACCAAATTCATATGTCCATTGTCTGCATTGGAAACCATTCTGAAAGTCTCATAAAATATATTGCAAAAGGGACCTCTACATTTACAGGTTATTTGATAATTGTTAACTCATTTTTAACAGACTTTCGCCTTACCTTTGCCAAACTTTGTTAAGCAAGTCAGTTTTCTTTTCTTTTCTTTTCTTTTCTTTTCTTTTCTTTTCTTTTCTTTTCTTTTCTTTTCTTTTCTTTTCTTTTCTTTTCTACCTTCCAGTGCCTTGGGTAATGTTACTCTAGCTGCTTTTAGCAACATCCAAAATATAGAGGAGTGACTCCGAACAAAATATTTTGCCAAGAGTGTTTACTACTATTTATCACCACATACGATGGAAACCTCCTCTATCAGAGTGCCAAAATTGTCACTTACCACCTCCTCTTTTATAGATTTTACTGATTTTCCAGGATGTCAAATACCACTGATTACAGCTCCTTAATGTTTAACAAAAAGTAGAGACGTATTCCTCCTGGGACTAAGAAAAACCAGATTTCTTTTCCAGCTATCCAATAGGCTGCATTTGTCTCTGCTCCATTTGCTCATGCATGTTTCATGATGATGCATCTCGCACTGTACTGCAATGTGACAGAACAGCCTGGTTTTATCATTCCCTCTGCACATGTACGCAAAACGGCACAGGCATGAGTAAGATGGAGGTAGCAGCAGGTTCTGGAGATTGTGGAGCTTTGCAGAAGTACAGAAATCTGTGGGGAAAGCCCTAAGGGGCAAACCGTCAGAGTAGCCCAATGTGTTCTATGTTCAGTGACTGACCGAGGCTGTGTATATATTACTGTCTACCCTGGCTCCAGCACACTCTCACCCCTGGTGTTTGAAGCTCAGCTTCTTGAGAAGTACCCCAATTTGATGTGCTTTCCTTCAAACCGGTTTCCATCATATTAAAAAATGGAAGCTTTGTTTAAGTTGAGGTGTATACAGTTCTGGTAGACATTGCATGTGTGTAGAAGCCAATGCATGTGCAGATGACAGTTTCAGTTAATTGGGGTCTGGTGCAGGCGCCAACTCTACTCAGCGCCCCCACCCCAGTCTTGAGGAGGTTAAGGGGTGATATGATAGCCATGTTCAAATATATAAAAGGATGTCACATAGAGGAGGGAGAAAGGTTGTTTTCTGCTGCTCCAGAGAAGCGGACACAGAGCAATGGATCCAAACTACAAGAAAGAAGATTCCACCTAAACATTAGGAAGAACTTCCTGACAGTAAGAGCTGTTTGACAGTGGAATTTGCTGCCAAGGAGTGTGGTGGAGTCTCCTTCTTTGGAGGTCTTTAAGCAGAGGCTTGACAACCATATGTCAGGAGTGCTCTGATGGTGTTTCCTGCTTGGCAGAGGGTTGGACTCGATGGCCCTTGTGGTCTCTTCCAACTCTATGATTCTATGATTCTATGAGGGGCCAGGTGCAGCTGAGCCTTCCCTTGGCATCGGGCCTCATCAGGGCTTATGGCCTCCTCCCAATGCACGTGACGTCACACGTGTGTGTCGCACATGTGATGTCATGCACAAGCGATGAGCCTCCCTCCCCGTGTTGGGTGGAACTTGATGCCTCTAGGCACAGGGAAACAAACTGGGTAATGTTCATTGGGAGAAGGCAGTCTGTCCCCTCTATGGGAATTACTGCAGCATAAGAATGCAACTTGAAAAATAAGCGGGGCAAAACAATCTTGCTGTATCTCAAGCTGCTAATGTCTACATAAAAAGGTAAAAGAGGTTAAGGATCCAGTTTAAGGCGACTATGGGGTCGTGGCGCTTATCTCGCTTCAGGCCGAGGGAGCCGGCATTTGTTCACGGACAGCTTTCTGGGTCGTGACCAGCATGACTAAACAGCTTCTGGCACGACAGGACACTGTGACTGAAACTACAGCACATGGAAACACCATTTACCTTCCTGCCGCAGCGGTACCTGTTTATCTACTTGCACTGGTGTGCTTTTGAACTGCTAGGTTGGCAGGAGCTGGGACAGAGCAACAGGAGCTCACCCTGTTGTGGGGATTTGAACCGCCAAACTTCCAATCTCAAAGCCCAAGAGGCTCAGTGGTTTGGACCACAGCGCCTCCCTTGTCCCTTTTAATGTCTACATAGCCTGACTTGGAAACGGAGAGTAACAAAAAAACTGGGAAGTGGGATAGACTGGTGGAGAGACTGGGGTAACAGCAGCACACTGTGCTGCAACATTTTTTGCAGGTTCCTTTTATGCATAATAATAATAATAATATACTGCATGGGATTTACCCCTCCTTAAAAAAATTCATTGAGCTCTTGGCCTCCAGGTATGCTATTTTGCTTTTGAAACACCACAGTTACATAATGGTTTCAACCACAGCTTCAGGCCCTTCTTGTTTCACAGATTTGATGCCCTGCTCTTTTTAATCATTTAGTGGGATCATTTTGCCTGGCCACACCATGAATAATTTTTTTTTTTTTGTCTTGTAATTGTTTGCAAAGTCAAATGAAGGCTCTGAACCACCTGCAGGCTTGCTGAATCAGCTAAACGTTGGGGCTGTGAAATGTGTAGCTTGATTCAGCGCTAACCACAAATACAGTGGTACCCTGGTTTTGGAGCGTCTCTGTTGACAAACGTTTTGGTTGTTGAACGCCGCAAACCCAGAAGTAAATGCTTCAGTTTTCGAACGCGTCTCGGAAGTCGAACTTCTGAGGCAGCTTCCACTGAGTGCAAGATCCTGTTGGTTGTTGAGTCCTGTCGGCTGGGAAACTGCGCCTCTGTTTTTGAAGGTTTTAGAACTTGAACGGTCTTCTGGAACGGATTACATTCGAAATCCGAGATACCACTGTGCCATTGGCTTCACTGTAACGTGGTCATGACAAACGTGTATACTAGGTTTAATAGTCACCCAGGGAACTGATGGCTTTGTCACTAGGGAAATTAAAACTAAGCTGGACACACAAGCTAGAAATAGATCACTTCGAACAATTTATTAATAGGAAGATATGAGCTGGCCTTCCCTGTCTCTGTCATTTGTTACTGGCAGCAGAACAGACCAATTTCTGATCTTTCCCCCGGTTCTTACATGCTGCCAAGAGCTGGGAGGAGGATGTCAAAGCTTCCTGGTCTGAGAAACAGGGTAGTTTGCTCTCGTTTCCCATGGGATCACAAGTAGCAAATGACACAGGGCTGTTAAATGACAAAATTGTTTGTGGCTTGGGGGGAAGAAAAAACAAAACAAAGCCAACCAGCCACATAGTAAACTAGTGCTAGTTTCCTCTTCAGCTAAATAGATCAATTTGTCAGGCAGCCGTTATTAACTTTCTTTAATTAACTCCCTTCCAAGGATTTGTATTAATTAAAGATCTACTTAGGCCAACTTGCTGGAAAAACAGCTCCCCCCCCCCAGGAGTGCACGGAACGGTGTGCTTGTGTATCCTGCTTGCAAGTCCTTAGGTAAACCGACTGACACTAGGAGATCCACACCATACATTGAAAGCACATCCAATGTGAATTTAAAGTACATGCCCCCACAAAAAGAATCCTGGGAAATGTAGTTTGTCCAGCGTGCTGGGAATTGCTGCTCTCTGAGGGGTAAATGACAGATCTCAGGATTATTTTCTGGGGGTGGGGAGTCACGTGCTTTAAATGTACACTGGGTGTGCTTTCAATGTATGGTGTGGGTGGAATGCCCTCATAATGTAGGTGTGTACTGCAAACAGGATTTATATCAACCCAGATTTCCACTCTGACTTCCACATTATCCTCACAGACCCTCCAAGTGTCCCTATTTTCCAGGGACAGTCGCAGACCCACAGAAGCCATCCCAGTTTCTGATCTGATCCTGGAATGTCCGGCTTTCCCTTAGGACATACCTATATTCATCGGAGAAATGTTGGAGATAAGTAACTATACAACCTTTATAAGACATCTGAATATGTTGGAAGCCTCCCAGAGTAGCTGGGGCAACCCAGTCAGATGGGTGGGGTATCAATAGTAAAATAATAATAATAATAATAATAATAATAATAATAATAATTCATTATACATTATTTCCCAGAAAGCTTTTACTACTCCACAAGACCACAACCTATGATAAAAGGTACCTTCTTTACTTTTACATTTTCGCAATTTTACTCGGAGTCAGGTACCAACAATACATCATTTTCATACAATTTTCTCTCAACGAACAGCAGGCAGTAAACTTCAAATCCTCTTTCCATAACTTTTCCCATGCTGACAATTGTATATTATAACGAAAACCTCTTCCCCAAGGTATCATTGGTGACTCTTCACCAGCCTGACTCATCTCTGCCTCTTGACTTCCTTCCTTCCTCACACCTACTTCAGCTTCTGCCTCTGATTCTGGACTCCACTCTGACACTGAATCTCCCAGCTCACTAAGCCCAGTTACCTCTTCAGCTTCCAACACCTCCTCCTCCCAGTTTTCTGCCTCTTCTCCCTCTGACCACTCACTGTCACACCCCCAGCAATCTCTGGGCTCTGAGCCTTCTTCCCTTAGTGGTTCTCCAGCTGGTTCCTCGCACCATTCCTCTGTGTCCAACCAGCCCATGACAATAATGTCATATGTTGTATGCTGCCTGAGTGATGGTTCTTTACTGGAAGGTCGAGATATAAATGAAATAATAAAAAACAGAAACTTACTGCTGCTAAACGGCATGGACTTTATGATGGGGCCCGTCATTTGCACCCCTTGGACCACTCTCTAAAAAATAGAGCAGCTTCTGAGAACACAGAAATCTGCCTCTCCTGCTCAAATCTATGGCAAGAAAGCTAAACTTAGCATCTAATTAACAGCCATTTTACTCATTAGGTTGCTTTGTTTTTTTTAAACGGGCCAATCTATTTGCTTTTAGTTCCTCAGCTTCATTAGAGAAATAAAAACCATTTGACAGAAATAGAAATCACTTTGTGGGGACGATGGAAACCGATGGGTGGTGAAAATTAGCAACAGTAATGAGGTGATCAGTTCTGCTGTTGCAGGAAACTCCTTGTGATTCCAACACGACAACATGGTTTTAGAGGACTTTGGGGAATCAATGTGGGGGGTAGAGTGAAAGTCA